ATGCAGAGTTCCTCAGAAGTTGGTTATGACGCTATGCTGGGAGATTTTGTGAATATGGTGGAAAAAGGAATCATTGATCCAACTAAGGTAAAAAGTTGACCATTTTCTAAAAATTCAAGAACTCTTTAAGTCTTGTTCATTTTTTCACTAAGAAAAAAGGTAATATTTTATCAAACTTTTTTCTCAGGTTGTAAGAACTGCTTTATTGGATGCTGCTGGAGTGGCCTCTCTGTTAACTACAGCAGAAGTTGTAGTCACCGAAATTCCTAAAGAAGAGAAGGACCCAGCAATGGGTGGAATGGGTGGTATGGGAGGTGGCATGGGAGGCGGCATGTTCTGATTCCTAGAATAGTGCTTTACCATTATTAATGAACTGTGAGAGGAAGCTCAAGGGTGTGCTCCTCAACCATAACTTCAGAGAAGTCAGTTGAAGGAAATGACCGAAGAAAAGGCTGGCTGATGTTTAAGAAAATCACTATAACCATCAGTTACTGGTTTCAGTTGACAACATATAATGGGTTACTGTTGTCATTGTCCATGCCTACAGATAATTTATTTTGTATTTTTGAATAAAAAGACATTTGTACATTCCCGATAACTGAGTGCAAGAGCCATGTACCAATGTACTGCTTTCAACTTAAATCATTGAGGCATTTTTACTACTATTCTGTTAAAGTCAGGATTTTAGTGTTTGCCATCACCAGATGAAAAGTTAAGCAGCCTTTCTGTGGAGAGTAAGAATAATTGTGTACAAAGTAGAGAAATAATCCAATTATGTGACACCTTTGTGTAATAAAAATTTGTTTAAAATTAATTGTGTTAGCCTTTCCATGATGTAGAAGAGAAATGAAAGCCAATAGATGAGGGGTAGGGTTTGGCACAAGTGTGTAAAACATTATTCCACCTGTAGTACTCTCCTGTTTCTCTTTGCTAAAGACAATTACATTACTACAAAGGTAATGGAAGGTTTTAAAGGTGACAACTCATTCCTGTGGAGACAGTATTTTATGTGTTGAGGTCTCGTCATAAAGGGGGCAATCTGTCATTTCTTGTGGAGGTACAGAGATGCTCTAAAGCCTCGGCATACTAAATGGATTCCTGGGGTGCCTGGCTGGCTCATTTGGAAGAGCATGGAGCTCTCTCGATCTTGGGTTTGTGAGTTTGAGCCCCACATTGCGTGTAGAGATTACAAGAAAAAAATGGATTCCTGTTAGATGAGAAGGGCAGGGTTTGTATTGTAGGAGTATACTTCAGTGGAAAGGAGAGAGGTGTGCCATTTAAGCATAATGAATAGTGGGGAAGGGCATCCTTACATGATAGCCCAGTGTCTTCACCTTTATTAAGAATTCAAAGCAGATTCTGGCTCAATGCACTTGGTCTTTATTAGAAATGGAAACAAGGGAAATGTGGCTTATTTTTATGACAGTACCTGGATGTATGCATGTTGGGGACAAAGATTTACAAGGCACAAGATCTTGTGTAATAACATAATTGTTACATACTGCTTTCACCTGTGCCAAAAGACCTAGTCTGCTTCTCCGTTTGGCCTTGGGGCTGCTTCCTTGAGACTGGTATAAGCTAGGCACTGAGGTAAATGCTCTTGTGTACAAAGCTTGGACAGAACTAGAAGGAAAAATAAAGTCCATCACAGATCAAAAGCCAAAGTCGCTTGAAATCTGCACCTAGAAATATCTGTGCTTTGCTTGGATTAGAAACAGAATGACAAGAGATTAAAGGGGGCTAAATAAAAGGCATTTTAAGTGAACAAAATGTGCCTAGAATGTAGTTTGGGCTATAGAAGTAGCAAAAGGCAAACCAGTATCAAAAGAAACCTTCGAGAAAGGATTTATTCTTTATTTCTTTAAAGATTTTATTTGACAGAGACAGCGAGAGAGGGAACACAAGCAGGGGGAGTGGGAGAGGGAGAAGCAGGCTTCCCGCTGAGCAGGGAGCCCGATGCGGGGCTCGATCCCAGGATCCCGGGATCATGACCCGAGCCGAAGGCAGACACTCAACTGACTGAGCCACCCAGGCCAAGCTAGGTGATAAGAAAAGGTAAGAGATGAAAAACACCTGGACTTTAAAAGATTATTAGAGCATGACCAGCCTAAAGAGATGAGCAGAGGAAAAAATGAGTGTCCGTGCTAGACACTGAACTACATATTTGAATTAACTCTCAACAATCTTGGATTAGGGACTCCTTACTAAACCTATACCACACTGTAAACAGGCTGTGAAAGGTTAAATAGCTTATACAAAGTCTCGGAGCTATTAAGTGGTAGACCTCAGATTTGAACCTGGGTTTGAAGAGCTTACACTCTTAAAGAGCCAGCCTGGAATGAACCCCCTAAGCCAGGATCTAGGCAATTGTAAAACCCTTTGAAAGCTGTAGCCAGAGAAATCATTTAATTGGGAAATTGTATTTCCCCTCTGTCACTAACCTTACAGAATGCCAGCAGGTAGGCATTTCTACTCCCTCTCCTTCTCCCCACCCCCATATTTCTCTAGGACAAGAGAATCATGTAGAAAAACAAAAGACTTCCAGATTCTGCCATTTGAGAGTCCCTCCAATGAAAAGGCTGGCTCACCTAATCACTGTACAGTGGAACTCACTAGTCAGTATGCCCTATCTTAATGCCAATAAGCTTTTTAGTCCCTTACTTTCAAATATCAATGGGCAAACAAGAACAATCAGACAAGCCTAAACATGAAGAATAGCAAAAACCGAAGGGATCTAGGGAAAACTTAAAAAATCATAATAACTTAAAGATGAGATCTTGTTGCCATAAACCAAGGAAGCCATAACAAAAAGGAACAATTAGAAAACATTCTTGGCCAATATAAAGTTAACAGAAGGGCTGGAAAATAGAACTGAGGAAATCTAAAAAGCAGAACAAAAAAATGGAAAATGGAAAAATGATAAAGATTTAATATAAGAGGTCAAATATCTAATTACTTAGGAATACCTGAATGATAGACCCAGAGAATATGGAGAGGAGGAAATTAACCAACAAATAATTCAAATTCCTCAGGATTCAAGTCACCGAGTCTGTGACTGACAGGGCCCACAAGGGGCCCAGCACAATTAATTAGGACAAGGCAACAGGGCAGATCAGCATGCGATTTCAGACTACCCAGGAGACAAAGTTGATTTTAAAAGCTTCCAGAGACCAAAAACTGGATGCTATACAACGGACTGGGAATAACAATGGCATAAGACTTCTCAAGAACAGCACTGGACGCCAGAATACAATGAAGTCAGATCTTCAAATTGGGATGAGAGGAGGGAGAGGATATTATCTTTAGAGTTCTATACTCAAGTGTGAATATAAAACAGTGACATTCAGACACTTGGGGATTCTAAAAACTTAGCTCCCACTTGCCTTTTCTCAGGAAACCGCTAAAGGATTTCCCCAGCATTTTGAAAGTAAATTAAAAATCGGAGGCCAAGATTCAGGATACAGGGAGCCCCCAAAAGAGAGGTGAAGGGCAATGGTGGGATGACTGCAGGGGAGCCCCAGGAGGACAGCTGCACAACAGCCTAGAGAGCAACCAGTGCAGACTGCATGTTAAAGGGGTGGCTGCAAGGAACTGAATGACTGAACTTGAAGTGGGTTAAACACACTACAATGCTGTTCTTGCACATAACCAGGAAGACAATGTTGACAGCTACAAGGTTGGTTCCTTCAGCCCTTGATGTCCCAGTTGGCTTCTCTGGAATTACTGCCTCTTCCCTCTGTGACAAGGTGACAGATATAGCTGCAAACCGTGTCTAAGGAAAACAATCAGGCAAACACCAAGGAAAAGTTTCTCTTGCTTTCCACAGAGAGAAAAACCTTACCTAGTAGCAGTCGTATCCCATCAGTCTTCCCCTAAGAGTCCAATGACCAGAAGTCACTTAAAGGAAAGTTTATAAAGGTGTTGTTTTCCCCCTTCCGATACAGAAAGCACTGACGCCACACTTAAGTCCACAGGTCATGGCCTCCAGAGTGTTGTACAAAGAGCATAGGTACTGGAGCCAGAATGCCTGGGTACATTGTATCCTGTCTCTACTTACTGTAACCTGGGTTCTCACCATACTTAGGGAACCTCATGGTTGACTAAGATGGATGGCTAGATCAAGGTGATAGTTGTGTATTCCTGGGATCCCTCACCAAAATACTATCTACATACTCTCATAATAGCAGCCCAGTTAGATCCCAACCGCTAAGTTAGATTCTGAACCTGAGAGCTTATCTATGGCATTTACAAGAACAGTGGTAAAGTACAAGTTCTTATATCCATCAAAAGAAAAGTAATATATACAGGGATAAAAAATTATCTGGGTCTTATCTCTGCCATTTGAAAAAAATTTTGTTATTTAAAAAGTAATTATAGGGGGGCGCCTGGGTGGCTCAGTCGTTAAGCGTCTGCCTTCAGCTCAGGTCATGATCCCAGGGTCCTGGGATCGAGCCCTCCATCGGGCTCCCTGCTCGGCGGGAAGCCTGCTTCTCCCTCTCCCACTCCCCCTGCTTGTGTTCCCTCTCTCCTCTCTGTTTCTCTCTGTCAAATAAATAAATAAAATCTTTAAAAACAAAAACAAAAAAAACCTCCCTTAAATAAATAAATACATACATACATACCTACATACATAAATAAATAAATAAGTAATTATAGGGGCGCCTGGGTGTCTCAGACGGTTAACTGTCTGCCTTCGGCTCAGATCATGATCTCAGGGTCTTGGGATCAAGCCCCGCACTGGGCTCCCTGCTCAGCAGAGCGTTGGCTTGTCCCTCTTCACTTTCCCCCCACCCCCGCTCATCCTCTCTCTAATAAATCAACAAAATCTTTAAAAGAAATAAATAAAAGGTAATTATATACAAACTACGGATACTCTGAGGGGATACTTCATTGGTAAGTGGAAAGATACTGCTTCCCCTGTGTGAAGCCCCAACCAGTTGCATGTGAGCAGACTGCAGGAGTCCTTCACCACCGTATAAACCAGCAAGTGGTACACAGCAGGCACTCAAAACAGATTTATTGGAAACATGCTTTTATGTAGGGAGCTAATTACTGAGGTACCTTGTTTATCTGAGGAAACAAACAGCACTCTGACTAGAAAGGTAATGCAAGAGGGTTGTTGTGTATGGAGTGAAAGGAGGGAAGATCAGTATTAATTAAAGGAAGACAATTTTGCCCAGATTTGTTTCATAAAATGCTACAATTAAACTTTACTATGTCTAGTTAAAATACACATGGAAATAATATAGGAGGATTTCAATAACCAAAATAACTGTACAAAAAATAAACAAATTAACTTTATTAAGTTACCACTTCAGTCCTTTGACCTTGATTTGTTTATAAAAATATCAGTTTGAAATATATTATTGAAAGTGAGTACACACAATAAATAGAAAATAGGGATGCATGGTGCTGGAAACATATCAACCAACTTATCTTCATCCATTACCCACTACTGTAGACAAAATCTGACGAACAATCAGCATTATTGAAAGAGTAATGAAAGTACCTGGGAGAGGGTTGCAAACTACAAGAGAACTAGCTTAAAGCTCTGGACCACTCACCAAAAAAAATATTCATTGTTTATCTGGGAGTTAATCTCACTATATATGGCACTGAATTTACCTACTACCCATAAGAACAATTTAAAAATAAGGAAAGTAGCCGAGGAACCTTCATTAACAGTATTTTTAAGTCAAAGTTTACTTTAAATATCTGATGATTATCCAAATATCCTAAGCTAAGAGGCAGGGTCCTATGACAATAAGTTATAAATAGTCTGAATTTAATAACTTAAAGGTGATATGGTTAATATAATACATACTATGTGAGTATCTCAACTGACCTCTTTCAAATAAGGTGATAATTAAAAGGCTTAAATTTACAGTTTCAATTTCTGGTAAGAGTGATGTCCATATTCTAGCAATAGTGATGACATCCCATTATCGTAAATATGCTAATATACACATTACTTTGAATTACACTTGATTGAATTCTATATACATGTGGTTCCATATTCCAAGTGCAAATTCTCAATGGTGCAGGCTTATAATCAAATCTGGGTTTAACAAATGCTTTCTGACTTCTGAAAGCAAATGATAAAAGCACTTCCTAAAAGTAAATAAACTAAAGTTACAAGTAAGTGACCAGTTCTTTTTCCCTTTACGTGTGATGAACTTCATGAAGCATTAATTCCCGAGGTATATTTGTTTCTGGACCATACAGCTTACATGCTCTTCTTTCAAAGGCAGCTACCATCTGCTTTACAACTTCATCGAAAAACAGTGTGGCAAGCTGAGAGTGTAGAAGGGAGCGAAATTCAAAAGAAATCTGTAGGAAAAGGTTAATTATTTTAGGAAGATCTTTCTTCTACTCAGTCTCTACTTAGGGTAGTGGTAACCAATTCAAAAGAAATCTGTAGGAAAAGCTTAATTATTTTAGGAAGATCTTTCTTTTACTCAATCTCTACTTACACTGTGAAATGGGCTGCTTGGCCAGTATCTAAGGCAGAGCTGTATGGGTGTACCTAGATGAAATTTTTTAACACCCCTCAGAAGACGGAGACTTAGTTACCACAGTAAGCACATCTACTGCTGACACCGTAAGCTTAAGTAAACAAGACCTGAACTTCATTTCAAGACAAATAATCTGCTTTTATTATTTCTAGTTAAAGAAAACTGGAAAAAAGCTTTACTGAATGAATACCATATTATTCTGGCTTCTTTTTAATGTGCCCCTTTTAGATCTAACCTATCTCTCAAAAGAAAATAAAGAAGGGAACTAATCCTTCTGATAGGTATTCCTAGGAGAAGTAGCAGCAGGAAGAGGAGATTGATCCACAAAACAGGGTAGGTGCTACAATCTTAAAGTTAACAATGATTTATAATTTCATTTATATCTCCTCAAGATATAAGTCAAGGCAGGTGGTTTGAGAAATAGTATTTTAAGGACCAAATATCCACTAACCTTTAAAACTGCTTTAATTTTCATTTCTTTGGTAATTTTTCATTTTGAAGTAATTTTAAATTTATAAAAAAAGTTACAAAAATAGTACAAAGATTTCTCATACACCCATCACCCAGATTTCCCCTTTTTAATGTCTTATATAACCACAATGCAATTATTAAAGCCAGGAAATTAAGAGTTAATGCTACTAGATAATAACACTAATATCTAATCTACACAGGCCTTATTCAAATTTCCCCAACGGTTCCATTAATGTCCACTAATTTTTGAATGAAAATAACTCAAGAGCTGAGAACATCAGCATATAGCAATGTAATCAAAATTATGACTATTTCTTGAAATGCAATGCCTGAGTTGCAAATACAGAGAATAACTCATGTATTATCTGTTCAAAGAAAAGCCACAAGTGGCTTTAAGTTTCTATAACCAAGGTGATGTGAGAACAAGGGAATACCATAGTCCCTAGATTTTAAAAATGTATTTTCCCCTTCTGCACTTTACTTCTGCATCATAAATCAATGTGTAGATTTTATTTGGTGTTAATAAACTGTTATTAAGCTCTTAGTGAAGTCATATGTCTTATCTATGGACCCATAAAAATCAGAAAATAGAGAAGGAATGACTATTCAAGGTTTCAAGAAATAGAAAAAGAGAAAGATTCATTAGTATTCTTTCTTATAAAGTTAGCAGAGAAAAAGCACCCTGAGTGACAGCAGTGAAAAGGGGAACTGACAATCTTAGGGATCCCAGGAGAAAAGAAAATGGCTTATATTGGCAAGAGGTCACTTCCTAGTACCAAACTGAAAATGAGATGTTTTTTTTTTATCACCTGTGGTCTGACCTACATATTTTAAAAAAGAAATCTGAGATTTGAGATTTTCTGAATTCAGAAATATGAATTTAAAATTCAGAAATTTGAGATTTTCTGAAAGCATCTTTCAGTAATCACTATGCACATTAAGATTAATTACAGCAGCTGGATTCTAATCAATGGATTATTCCTTCTTTATCAACTTCACCTGATACTTGCAACAAACCAAGGGCTGTATGAGACACTTACTGAAAAATCCAAGGTACAAGTTCTTGGGTAGCCAGGAAGACCTGGGCTAAAACGCCAAACAGTCTCCAAATGATTGAAAAGCCTTCCATCAGTACAGGATGCCTAAAACAAAATGAAAAAACAAGACTGCAGTAAAATACCATTTAGACTATCCAGAATCTACAACTGAGAATTATTTCTTTTTTTAAAATTTTTTAATTTTTAAAGATTTATTTATTTTAGAGAGAGAGAGCAAGAGAGAGCATGGGGGGGGGGGTGAGGGGCAGAGGGAGAGAGTCTTAAGCAGACTCCGTGCTGAGCATGGGCGACGCAGGGCTCGACCTCATGACCCTGAGATCATGACCTGAGCAGAAAACAAGAGTCGGTCGCTTAACCAACTGAGACACCCAGGCGCCCCGAGGATGATTTCTTTTTTAAAATATGTTTGTAGGTCAGACCACAGGTGATAAAAAAAATCTCATTTTCAGTTTGGTACTAGGAAGTGACCTCTTGCCAATATAAGCCATTTTCTTTTCTCCTGGGATCCCTAAGATTGTCAGTTCCCCTTTTCACTGCTGTCACTCAGGGTGCTTAGAGTTTTCCCCTCCAGCAGCAAAACAGAAAGTGATTTTTCTGGAAGTTTATTTCCAGCCCTGCCATTTATAAGTAATCCTGAACAAGTTAATTCCCTGTACCATATTTCCTTAAATCTATAAAATGAGTATAATACCTATTTTATACCATTACTATGATATGTCGAAAATATTTATAAGGTATCTGGAACAGATCCTAAGTAGGGTTCTAGAATTCTCCTTTCCTACCCAAAGATTTTTCTCTTGTCTTTCACATTTAGTCTTTCCTTCACTCATTATTCTCTATTTCTAAGGGCAACCGTGGTTCTAGTTTTCCTGAGTCTGGCCCTGACCCATGTCCCTGATCCATTGCTTTCTTTAACCTCTAATCTCTTCAGTGCTCATGTTTATTTTATATGTGTATGTACACACTGAAACACAGTAGAGATATTATGTACAGTGCATCTTGATATTTCCCATTCTATATCATTAAAAGAAGGCTGATTGAGACCCACTAAGAGTTGCCTCCTGCAGTGTGAAAAATGGTGGCCGGAATCACAGTCACTAGTAGATTGTCAGGACTGGTTATGACTTTGAAAGAAGTTCAACTTCTTTACTTACTATCCTAAGATGTTATCTGGGCCTTAGTACTAGTAGACAAATGATCTCAAGAAAACATATCACCTTCCCTCAGCAGCAAACCACCTTTTAAATTCTTGTTTCAAAGTCAACACCTGGGACGCCTGGGTGGCTCAGTCGGTTAAGCCTCTGCCTTTGGCTCAGGTCATGATCTCAGGGTCCTGGGATCAAGCCCCATGTCAGTCAGGCTCCCTGCTCAGTGGGGAGTCTGCTTCTCCCTTTCCCTCTGCTCCCCCCCTCACTTGTGTACATGTGCGAGTGCTCTCTCTCTCTCAAATAAATAAAATCTTTTAAACCACCCCCCAAAAAAAGTCAACACCCCCCTCCCCAATTAAGCCTTAAGCTTCCAGCTCTTTTGGCATATCCTGGGGCCAATAAATAATCAAGTCCCTCTACCCTTTTCTCTTTTCTTTTTTTTTTTTTTAGAGAGTGAGAGCACTCATAAGTGGGCGGGGGAGGGAGCAGTAGGGGGAGCAGGAGAGGCAGAGAGAGAATCCAGGAGCCTCTGTCCCTTTTTTTCTTTGATAACTTATTCCTCTTAACAGTTTAGACATCCCTCCCTGAGCGTATACACTACAGATTAGCAAAAAGGACTTGTACAGATAAACTCTTTTCCCCCAAAGTGTACTTTTTCTTCCCCAGCTATTGCCTCCCTAAACACAGAATGCAGGATTAATTCTGACTATATCTGGATCTCTCCACAGATAGTTTAAACTGGAAGCCAAAGAGCTTAAAATATATTTACAGTTGATTCCTCACTTCCTCTTCATCTAAACTCTTTTGAGTCAATTATCAGATGAAAACATGGTAGAATCATTATAAAGAAAATCCAACTGCATCAATACTAAAAAGCATTTACAAAGAAATGCTCTATTTCACATTCATAAAAGAAAATATTTTAGTTGTTAAAATGGAAAACAATGAATGTTTAAAAATTTATTTAGACATGATAAAATAGTAGTCATCAAAATGCTAACTAATAGCTAAATTTAGTCACATTATGCTAAGTCACTGGGGAAAAGTGAAAATTTTCTTCAAAGGATTTGGTTTTATATATAGTTCAATAAAGACCATCTAATTTTTAAAAGCATCAACAATCTATTATAAAATCTTATTATTTCAATTACCCAACTTTCAGGTAATATATTCTACCCTTCTTTACAATCACATAAGAAGCTTACAGGAGGGGTGCCTAGGTGCCTCAATCAGTTAATCATCCGACTCTTGATTTCAGCTCAGGTCATGGTCTCAGGGTCATGAGACTGAGCCCCATATCAGGCTCCACACTGAGAGTGGAGCCTGCTTAAGATTTTCTCTCTCTCAAAAAAAAAAAAAAAAAAAGGCAGCTTATAGGAAATTTAACAGTGAAGGAGAAACAGTTATTGGGAATAATCACTATAATACACCAACTTCTTCTGACTACTTTTTCACAAAATGTGGCAGTGCTGTATTCATACCAATAATCTAGCCCAAGGACCCACAGATTTTTACTGGTATGTTTAGATATTGCTAACGGCCTCATTCCTAACAGCACAGATACTGACCACAATAGGAGGTATTATGATGATGACCTACAACTGGTTGTTCTGACTGAACTGACCCAGACCATACAAACTATGGCATGTAAAATGTTTGTACTGTGACTCAGGTAGTAAGATTCATGGAAGCAATGCCTCTATTAAATCTGCTGAAAACTTTCAAGGGCTTCTGGCCATTACATATTCATGTACAATAGAATTACTGACATGTCACAGGCACATTTGGGGCAAGTAATAATTTGCAGAAAAAAGTCACATGGCTTCTGCTGTTCCCTTGGTTTTAATGAGTTGTGTTCTATGCCACATGCTTGTATTAGGTATTAAAATCCAAAATGTGAACCCAGGGACAACTGAAAGCTGAGCATACATAGTTGTGTGTTACTCTCAAATACATCTTCAAACAATAAATTAGCACATTAAGTGAAGCAGCTTATTTTATTGGAAAAACAGCTTTGGGATCTGACATATATGTATGTCAGTATGTATGAATTTGCATAAGGTTTGTAATTTTTCTAATCCTCATAAACTGAGATAGCAATGATCATTTCATACATGTTATTATGAAGATTTTTTTCTTTCTTTCTTTTTAAAGATTTACTTATTCATCTGAGAGAGAGAACGCATGTGCACACAGGGGCAGAGGGAGAGAGAGAGAGAAATTCCAAGTAGACGCCACGCTGAACACGTAACCAGAAGCAGGTTGTTTTTCTTTTTTTTCCCCCGAGTTATTTTAGTTAGATGCAGCATAATAGATGAAGATTTAAAGTTTTAAGAGACTGAGGTCAGGAAACAGAAAAACATTTAAAGATTATAGAGATACTCACTGGTGTCAGAAAGACTGAACCAGAGTCTTGGCTCTGTAATCTTGGGCAAGTTATCTAACTCTTCTAACCCTTAATTCGCTCAACTGTAAGATGGAGAATGGTAACATTTGAATCTCAAAGGGCTGTAGCGAAGACTAAATGAATAATTCAAGTAAAGCACTACAAAGAGCTCGATAAATGTTAGCTAGTGTAAGAGAGACAGTGCAGTACAGAACTCCAAAACTATGAGACAAACAGGTGGAAACATTCATAATGGCAAAGTCCTGTGAGGCACGGCCTTTTAAGTGGAGTTCAAGTTTGAGAGTAAGATGAGTGTGGACTCCAAGTCTTAGCTTCACTGGACAATAGACTCTCTCTGGTATGAGAGATGCCACCTCCTTCAATGCCTAACAAGGAGCTGACAAAGGCATTTAGCTCTGGCTAATTACCAAGAAATGATATCCTATGGGCATAAAACACAACTAAGCTTTAAGTCTTTGGTCACCAAACTCTAGGAATTCAAAAGAATTCTATGGAATTCTGCCTTTTTTGTGTGTTTAAGCCTGGGTATCTGTCTATACATGTCCCCTCTTTTGACAAGGATAAGATGATCAATACAATACTTTTAACAGTACCAGGCATTTCAGTACCCACCGCATGGCAGGATGACCTCAACAATGTTTATGTTATCCACATTTGTATCTTTTCTACCTTTCTTCATCCTCTCACTTTCCGTGCCTTAACTTCTAAAAAAACTAGCGCAAAAATTAACTTTAAACACTTTTCACTTGTGTGGTCCAATCTTTCCTAAGGGTCAGTAATCCTCAACTGAAGAAAAAAAGAAAAAGCTTCTTATTTACATATTCTAGTCAAATTTCTGTTTGGAAAGAATAATGCTAATATTGTATAAAACAGCACAGTTAGCAGACATAAGAAATCATTCGTTTTTTCCCCCTCCATCTCTGATTAATTTAGGGAAATACTTTTAAGCTATTATACTTTAAATTATTTGATATAATCAACACTTGGGAAATATTTAAAAACAATGAAAAGCAAAACTACTACCTTTACCAAATGTGGTTTCACCAAGGTTACTACTGATGTGTAGCGCTCCAACACAGGTGGAAACCCAATTTCTAATCGTGTTTTGCAGTATCCGGTTCTCTTTGATATTACATCTGATTTTTTGCACCAAGGAACAAAATGCTTGTAATCCTCCATTCCTGATACCACATCATACATTTCCTGCATAGAATATCTTGAAAAAAACAAAAAAGAGAGAGGTGTTAACTACACCTATTTATAAGGCATATATATACTTTAAATTGAATATAAATAAAGCTAGTGTGTACAACGCAATAAATCATTTGGTAATTATGCTAAACCACACATTGAAATGAATGACTTCAAAGCAATACAAAAAGATAAAGGGAGCTAAATATTTGCATAAAGCAGAGGTCATAATTTAGCATACCACAGGTTGAATCTGGCTTACACATGTGGTTTTTGAAATTTTAATTAGCAGCCAGCATTTAAAAATTGAGGGCTTGAGAAAAAAAAAACAAAAAAACAGGGCACCTGGGTGGCTCAGATGGTTAAGCATCTGCCTTTGGCTCAGATCCTGACCTCAGGGTCCTGGGATAGAGTCCCGCATCGGGCTCCCTGCTCAGTGAGGAATCTGCTTCACCCTCTGCCTCCCCACCCCTCCCCCTGCTCATGTGCTCACTCTCAAATGAATAAATAAAATCTTAAAAAAAGAGAGGAAAAAACCTCAACTGGAAGCAACTTACTTATCAGTTAATAGATGTTAATAAATGCTTAATATAATAAAAATTATTAAAAATTATGGTATATCCATACTGTGGAACTCCGTACCAGTTATTTATAAGAATTAGAATCAAATATTTAAAGTTTGTTTATTTATTTATTTATTTTAGTAATCTCCACACCCAAAATGGGGCTCAAACTCATGACCCTGAGATGAAGAACTGCATGCTCTTCTGACTTAGCCAGCCAGGCGCCTCCCACTTTGTTTTTAAGTTTATTTTTTTTAAGATCAAATATATACTTTAGAGCAAAGAAGTTTACAATATATTCTTATATGAAAAAAACACTTTACAAAACAGACAGGATATGGACAATTCTATTATCCATTTAGGAAAAATTATAAATAAATACTGTATTTCTCACTTTTAAAACACTTGATATTTATTTTTTCCTGAAACTAATTGTTATATCAACATAATAACTGTAATGAAAATATATTTTAAAAGCCCTAGAAGAATGCAGATTAAATAGATTTTTTTTTAAAGATTTTATTTATTTGAGAGAGAGAGAACACGAGCAGAGGGGAGGGGGCAAAGGGAGAGGGAGAGAGAGAAGCAGACTGCCCACTCAGCAGGGAAACCAACATGGGGCTTGATCCCAGGATCCCAAGAACATGACCTGAGCTGAAGGCAGATGCTTAACTGACTGAGCCACCTAAGCACTCCAACATCAATAGTTTTTAACTCAAGAAAAAGAAGTAGGAGTAAAAATAGTACATATACTTCTATATTGTTAGATTTTTATACAAGTATGTAGTATTTTTAAAATTTAAAAAAAAAGAAACCATTCTAGAACACAAAGAAAGGAACCTCTCATTCTTTTTATGAGCCACCATAACACCCTGCCAACCTGAACGTGACAAAGAATATAAAAAATAAAACCTGTAGACCAATATCACCTGTGATTACTGAAGCAAAAATTCTAAATATCAGCAAATAAAATCCAGCAATGCATTAAAAAAATTAGCAATCAAATTCAACTCTTTTAAAGATTCATGGATGGCTTAATACTAAGAATTATAACATTATAATCATATTAACCAAAAGAAGAAAAACTGTATAATTCCCTCCATAAATGGTCAAATACCAAAAGCATTCCCATTAGAGTTAGAAATAAGACAAAGATGTTAGTTATTACAGTTATATAACATTGTTTTGGGGAGGAGTACAAGACAGTGGAGGAGTAGGAGACCTTAGTTTCATCTGGTCCCAGGAATTCAGCTAGATAGCTATCAAATCATTCTGAATATCTGTGAACTCAACTGGAGAGCTAAGAAAAGATTAACTGCAACTCTACAAATAGAAAAGCAACCACTTTCTGCAAGGTAGGAGAATGACAAGATGGAAAAAATCACCTCAAAAAAGAGAACAAGAGGCAGTACTGACTGCCAGGGACCTAATCAGTATGGACATAAGTAAGAGGTCAGAACTAGAGTTCAGAATAACAATTATAAAGATACTAGGTGGGCTTGAGAAAAGCATAGAAGACACTAGAGAATCCCTTTCTGGAGAAATAAAAGAACTAAAATCTAACCAAGTCAAAATCAAAAAGGCTATTAATGAGATGCAATAAAAAATGGAGGCTCTAACTGCTAGGATAAATGAGACAAAAGAGAGAATTAGTGATATAGAAGACCAAATGATGGAGAATAAAGAAGCTGAGAAAAAGAGAGAGGAACAATTACTGGATCATGAGGGGAGAATTCGAGAGATAAGTGATACCATTAAGTGAAACAGTTTTAGAATAATTGGGATCCCAGAAGAAGCGGGGGGCAGAAAGTATATTGAAGCAAATTAAAGCGGAGAACTTCCCTTATCTAGGGAAGGGAACAGGCATCAAAATCCAGGAGGCACAGAGAGCCCCCCTCAAAATCAATAAAAATAGGGCAACACCCTGACATCTAATAGTAAAACTTGCAAATCTCAGAGACAAAGAGAAAATCCTGAAAGCAGCATGGGATAAGATCTCTGTAACATACAAGGGTAGAAACATTAGATTGGCAGCAGACCTATCCACAGAAACCTGGCAGGCCAGAAACGACGGGCATGATATATTCAGGGTGCTAAATGAGAAAACTATGCAGCCAAGAATACCTTACCCAGCTAGGATGTCATTCAAAATAGAAGGAAAGATAAAAATCTTCCAGGACAAACAGAAACTAAAAGAATTTGTGATCACCAAACCAGCCCTGGAAGAAATATTAAAAGGGATCTTTTAAGCAAAAAGAGAGTCCAAAAGTAACATAGACCAGAAAGGAACAGAGATAATCTACAGAAACAGTGACTTTACAGGTAATACAATGGCACTAAATTCATATCTTTCAATAGTTACTCTGAAAGTAAATGGGCTAAATGCCCCAATCAAAAGACAAAGGGTATCAGATGGGACAAAAAAGCAAGACCTACTGATATGCTGTATGCAAGAGACTCATTTTAGACCCAAAGACATCTCCAGATTGAAAGTGAAGGGGTGGAAAACCATTTATCATGCTAATGGACATCAAAAGAAAGCTGGAATGGCAATCCTTCTATCAGAAAAATTAGATTTTAAACCAAAGATGGTAATAAGAGATGAGAAAGGACACTATGTCATAATTAAAGGGTCTATCCAGTAAGAAGATACAAAAATTGTAAATATTTATGCCCCTAACATTGGAGCAGCCAATTATATAAGCCAATTAATAACAAAATTAAAGAAACACATCAGTAATAACACAATAATAGCAGGGGACTTGAACACACCCCTCACTGCAATGGACAGAACATCTAAGCAGAAGATCAACAAGGAAACAAGGGTTTTGAATGACACTCTGGACCAGATGGACTTCACAGCTACATTCAGAGCATTTCCATCCGAAAGGAACAGAATACACATTCTTCTAAGGTGCACATGGAACATTCTCCAGAACAGATCACATACTGGGTCACAAATCAGGTACCAAAAGACTGGGATCATTCCCTGCATATTTTTGGACCACAATGCTTTGAAACTGGAACTCAATCACAAGAGGAAATTTGGAAATAACTCAAATACAAGGAGGCTAAAGAGCATCCTACTAAGGAATGAATGGTCAACCAGGAAATTAAAGAAGAATTTAAAAAATGCATGGAAACAAATGAAAATAAAAACACAACTGTTCAAAATCTTTGGGATACAGCAAAGGTGGTCCTAGGAGGGAAGTATATAGCAATACAAGCCTTCCTCAAGAAACAAGAAAGGTCTCAAATACACAACCTAAACTTACACCTAAAGGAGCTGGAGAAAGAACAGCAAATAAAGCCTAAACCCAGCAAGAGAAGAGAAATAATATAGATTAGAGAAGAAATCAATGAAATAGAAACTAGGTTCAAAAAAACTAGGAGCTGGTCCGTTGAAAAGAATTAATAAGATTGATAAGCCCCTGGCCAGACTTATCAAAAAGAAAAGAGAAAGGACCAAAATATATAAAATCATGAATGAAAGAGGAGATCACAACCAACACCGAAGAAATACAAACAATTATAAGAACATATGATGAGCAACTATATGCCAACAAATTAGGCAACCTAGAAGAAATGGATGCATTCCTAGAGACACATAAACTACCAAAACTGAAACAGGAAGACACAGAAAACCTGAACAGACCCATAACCAGCAAGGAAATTGAAGCAGTAATAAAAAATCTCCCAACAAACAAAAGCCCAGGGCTGGATGGCTTCCCAGGGGAATTCTACCAAACATTTAAAGAAGAATTAATACTGGGGCGCCTGGGTGGCTCAGTCAGTTAAGCATCTGCCTTCAGCTCAGGTCATGATCCCAGGGCCCCGGGTTTGAGTTCCACAGCAGGCTCCTTGCTCAGTGGGGAGCCTGCTTCTCCTTCTTCATCTGCCTGCCACTCCCCCTGCTTATGCTCTGCTCTCTCTCTCACTCTCTCTCTGTGTCAAATAAATAAATAAAGTCTTTAAAAAAAGAATTAATATATTCTTCTGAAGCTGTTTCAAAAAACAGAAATGGAAGGAAAACTTCCCAACAATTTCTATGAGGCCAGTATGACCTTGATCCCAAAACCATACAAAGACCCCACCAAAAAGGGGAAATACAGACCAATATCCCTGATGAACATGGATACAAAAATTCTCACCAAGATGCTTGCCAATAGGATCCAACAGTGCATTAAAAGGACTATTAGCCACGACCAAGTGGGATTTATTCCTGGGCTGCAAGCGTGGTTCAACATCCACAAACCAGTCAATGTAATACATTACATTAATAAAAGAAAGGACAATAGGTACAGAAAAAGCATCTGACGAAGTACAGCATCCTTTCTTTATTAAAACTCTGCACAGTGCAGGGCTGGAGGGAACATACCTCAATATCATAAAAGCTACATACAAAAAGCCCACAGAGAATATCATTCTCAATGGGGAAAAACTGAGCGCTTTTCCCCTAAAGTCAGGAATACAACAGGGATGTCCACTATCACCACTGTTGTCCAACATAGTACTAGAAGTCCTAGCCTCAGTAATCAGGTAACAAAAAGAAATGAAGGGCATCTGAATCAGTAAAGAAGTCAAACTCTCACTCTTCACAGATGACATGATACTGTGGAAAACCAAAAAGACTCCACCCCAAAATTTCTAGAACTCATACTGGAATTCAACAAAGCATCAGGATATATAATCAATGCACAGAAATCTGTGGCATCCCTATACACCAACAACAAGACAGAAGAAAGAGAAATTGAGGAGTCGATCCCATTTACAATTGCACCCAAAACCATAAAATACCTAGGAATAAACCTAACTAAAGAAGCAAAGGATCTGTACGCAGAAAACTATA